GAACACATGCAAGCAGCTCAATACAAACAGTATATATTTATTCTGCTACTTGTCACATATAAAATGATGGAAAGGTGGAATAATAAATTTCTTTTAAATCAGAATGATTTGCTTTAAATATAAACTAAGAAAATAAAAATTGCTTCAGGACAAGCATTTATAAATTTTTCTTTGCAGATAATTCAGTAATACTGATTACTGAAGTCTGTATTAAAGGTTCTGAACTTGGAGAAACTGGAAATGTTACAACAAATTATCTATATTACGATAGCCTGAGCTTAGAATGAAATTAATTGCTTACATATGCTATATTTTATTCTCTCCAAAACTCAAACATTACACTATGGCAGAAGATGAGGGATGCAAGAGGGAAAGAGAGAGGACAACCACTCAAACTGACAGAAAAAAAACCTTTAAAAACAGTAGTACCAAGACTTGGGTATCTAGACTGAAAACATGAGTGGAAAGCAGGAAAAAGCAGGAAAAAGTTATTCTCGAGCTGCCAAAACAATTACTAAAAGCGGGTTAGAATTAGCGACTCGGTCACTTCCAGAACGCAGTCTGCTTTTCTCACTGGAGAATAAGATGAAGTTTTCCTACATCCTCTCTTTTGAGAGACTACAGTATACAAATGAATAATCAAATGTTGAGTTAAATTACCTAATCAGATCAAGAGTTAGTTCACGACTCATGGTAGACCTCTACAAACTATCCCCTCTCCCATCTGGTTTCCAACCCTGTAAAAATACTCATAAGCTATTTTGGTAGAGGATAATTTTTCCCTGCTGTGGGAAAAGTCCTAAAAATAAACATATGTGTGGGGTTGCGTTTTGGGGCTTTTTTTCCCCTAGCAGCCTGGGTACAGTTGATCCTACAGATGCAAAACCAGACTTTTTAGCAGCCATGTAAGATCTGTAAAGGAAAACAAATGGCTGAAAAAAAATAGAAAAGGCTGAAAACTAGAAATGGCTGAAAACACTAGGAAAAACATGGGGTCTTTTGACAAATAATATATGCTATCTAGATTATTACCTATTATCTCAAAACAGTTTTAGCAAATAAAGACATTATCTGAACGCTGTACTTATATGAACAATTAAGGTACTTGTACCATTTTGGAACTTGACAAACTTACAATTCAGGTCTGTGTACTTGCCCTCCAGAGCTTGCACGTATGCTTCATACTGCTTCCACCTATTACAGAGAGGAAGAGAAAAAGAATTTTTGGAATCTTATTAAAGATAGCTAGTTCCTAAATTTTCATAGTATGGAATTACGTAATTTGATAAATGACAATTCTGAAAATGTTACTTTTAAACATAAAAGCATTTAATTTCACCTTGCACCTCAAAAGGAGGCAGGATAAAAAAAAGACACAGCTGTGCATTGCTACTTAATATTAACATCTTAAAATTTCCTGTGTTATTTTGGACAAACATTGAGATCAAACATTCATTATTTTGTATACGTGAAATACCTAAAATCCATCTCATCCTCAAAGCAGGACAATCAAAACTAAATTATGTAGCAGAAACCATATAACAAAGACCACAGAAGCCCGCATTAGGGTTACACCAATCATCAAGTGATTAGCAAAGCAAGCTCAAGTATATAACAACAGAACACTAAAAGTTGCTAAGCCTAGGCTAACTAGTTATTCTATCTCACTCAAACCAAGATCATATGCTGACTATATTCATTTACCAGAAGCCAGTTTAATAACTGCAGGCATGCTCACAAAGCGATACATGCATTCCATGGTTGGGAAACCCCACACTTAAAATAATGATATGTTTAATGTACCCCATCAAGTCAGTAGCAAACAAAATCTGCAGTAAAGCTGAGGATGACAGGCCTTCCCAACAAAGTTCGCAGGATAGTTGCCTAAAAATAAGTCATAATGAAGTGACCTTTTTTTTTAAGATGCATTTTGTTCCTAACTACATACTTTCCTCACAATGATACAGTTCCACAAGATGAAATGAACTGATCTAACAATGTACCCCTATGAAAAGGGGAAGGTTTCTACTCCCTCCCTCCAACTACTCTCTCTCTCTCTCCATCTACTCCATGCCAGACCCATCAGTTCACTCTGTTTTAATTCACTAAACTAGAACAAAAGTATCTCAATGCAAAACAATAAATGCAAACTCTAGATTATTTTTGTTGGTTTAGTGAATTCAAGCTGCTCATTAAGGAGTCTGAAAAGCATCATATCTTTTATCATCTTTTTGCTCTAAAAAGAAATGCTGATATAGAAACAAAAAAGGAATGCTGACAGAGGCAAAAATTCAACACTAATTCAGACGTCAATCCCAAAACAGTGAAACTGAAACAAGCTACTATATAGTAAAACTAAGAAGAAAAATCCTAGTTTTTGCATGAAAGAATTACATAAAAGAATAACAAAGTTAGTCTTCAAATACAGTTGCAAGATTACTTGGCTAAGTTACGTCCCACAGACCTGAAAACAATGGCTCAGCTGAAACTGTGACATCCTGATTGATAACACTGAAAAACCTATATAAGGAGTGTTTCAGGGCTTTAATTCACACAGAAGTTAAATAGACCAGCACTGGAATGAAAATGGGTTGCATATGGCGACCAGAAAACTTAGCAGCAATACCTCTAAGTAACCTCTCAAGAAATGCTAATAGTTCAGTAGGAACTCACCCAACTCCTGAAAGGAAAGAAAAGGCATGGGGGAAAGTGTATTAGATCAAGGTAAGGACCTAATAATACATACGCCTACCAACTCCTCCCAAACGATCAGTCTTCAGACAAGATTAGTTATGGTACAAGATTTTGTCAAGACAGGCAAAACCTGGTCAAGACTAGAGTAATTAATCTACAAACAGGTTTACGAAATTGTACAGAATCAATTTTGTGATCATCACAGATGACAAACTCAAAATTCTTCCATCAAGTCATCAAATTTAAAACTTGAAGTTTCTCTACCATAGCAACTTCAGTTTCGCACACCACCATTTCAACAATTTTAGGATGACTACAGAAGAACTCAAAAACTATTTTCTCTTCTAGTAACTCAGCTAATTTTCATCTCACTCCAAGTAAACCAGAAAACTGGCATGTGCAAAGACAAAAAAAATTATTTCACGCAATAGGATTTTTTATCATTGATATAGGAACTCTGAAATAGGCTAAAAGTATCAAAGCAGGGAGTGAAACAACAAAAGTTGAAATTTAAAAGCATTCACAAGATGAAGTAGACCATTCTTCCAATTAACTTGCTCAGGAAAATAAACAAAAGCCTACTCATTCCTTTTCAGTCAAACACGGGGTTGTGATGTTTTATCTGCTGTCAATATTTTTTTTTAAGCTCTCAGTAATCCTGAGGATAAGCATCTCAAAACATTTCCCCCCTCCCCTAAATGCATGAACAATAGCTAAGGGCAGAAAGGAAAGCATTCCAATATACTGGAAAGATTAAGAAAAGTCTGTGGATGGCCCAGAAAAAAACTTAATTTCAGTTTAAACATGTATTAACTGACTTAAGACTTTACATACTGTTGTTCTACATGCATTGCAACCTTTTATAACTTCTTGTGGTAACTACTTCTGTAAATGCCTTTAATGATCCATTTGCTAAAGACTTTTTCCAGCTTATTTCACTGAGTAATTGTTTCCCCTTATTGACAGTAGTAGCGCAGATCATTAACAGGTGAACTAAAGTCGAATTCTAAGCTGAAGTTAAGTTATCCTTAGTGTAGTTTCTGGAAGCTTCAAAATAAAAAGTAAAATATGGAACTATCACAGAAGTAATTTTAAAAAAACTGAAGCTGCCAAAAGTGATAACAATTTTAATGCTCTAACTCCACACATTGTTAACATCCATCTTTGTATTTCTTCTACTTTATTATGTTTAGGATGGCAAAGGAGTCCAGATGATTCTATGATGAAATGGGACAGATGTAGAATTGTGCACTTTAGGTCCCAAGTAACCGCATGAATGGTGGTAGAGTTTGTAACAATTCTAAGTGAACAGTTCTTAAAAAAGAAAATCTGTTTTTAACCTAAATAAAGGGCAGGATTTCCAGATGTGCAACTCAGGTCTTAAGCTGTATAACCAAATCCCCATGTGCAAGTTTTGCTTCTGTACTTCTTCCAGTAACATGAACTCCCAGTTGTTGACAAGCGAGGATGAGGTGAGCTTGTATTCCCATTACATGAAATTCCCACACTTCAGTGTTCAGGCTGAGCTTGAAAAAGGTAGCAAGGTCAGGAAGTTTGTAGAAAAGTAATATGATGCATTTGCTCAGTGATGGGATCATGCCCTGTTAAGCTAAACAGCAGAAGCAGGGGCTAATTTAATAGTAGTGTAGTATCACCTAGAATTCCCAGCTATCAAGCTCAACTCCAGTGTTTTCCAAGGATTCTCAGGCCTAAGTTGGCGTGCACACACACACACAAAATATGAAGGCTCTATTAAGCCCTACTGTAAACAATAACTAATTAGAAAAAATGTCAACTCACTGATGTCACCATTGCCACAGTTGGAATACATCTTTATTTCAGATTCAATTAGAAATTTTAATCCGAACAACTCATACACAGTGTAATTGTTTGCACATAAATACATAGCTTCCCCGTAAGACACTGTAAGAACACATAAAAGACATTTGGTTATGAAAAACTCTCTAGACAAACACTATTCCTAAAGATTAGGAATTTTAAACATTTTTCAACTAGCTAACATTCTGGGCTCTTCAGGGAAGAGATTTCTGCCCCTGAACACATTCTGAAGTTCACCAAACATGTCCAAAAAAGAATCCTGAAGTGATATACCAAAAGGTTTTCCAGAAGTGCTGCCAAAATTAAAATTTAGAGGTAAAAGCTTGCTACCAGCCCATCTTCAACTATAAGAGGAAAGAACTCCTGTCTGGGAAACTACTCCACCTTACTTGAAAGCAATACTCCTGCCACCAGCATGCATAAGTAAACTTACACTGACACAAAAAACAGTTAAGTTCACCTATTTAGGAATCTGAATATACCTTTATTTTAATTAAAGTAAATCAGTGATTTATAGGGACTTGCTGGTTAGACTTAAATCTGAAGTCTTTCTTCCCAACAGCCAAGAAAGACTGTTCTCTCCCCCTATCACAGACTATAACCTTGCATACAATCTAACAGATGCACTGGTTTAAGTGAGCTTAAGAGTTGTCTTGCTCCTCCTTGCCCCATATTACCCCTTCTAGTACACCTGCAGAGGGTTTGGCACAGCTCAGTGAACTAGAATGGGGAACAGATGAAGGTTAAAGCAAGCCAGCCACCCTCTATCAAATCTGTTTTGATCAGCATCAGTTTCCCCATCTGTTTTGCCAGGGTGGTTCACACCACTATTCGGCCAGCAGATCACTGACAACGTGAACACTTTCACTAAACTGCTACTTGGAAAGTTGCTACAGAGCAAAGAGATCTGTACACAAAATTAGAGAGATAGTCCTGAAACTGATTTACATTCAGGAGGTCACTTGCAGTCTCACAAGGACTAGAAGGTAACTCAGAAGTATGATTTAGGTTACGAAAGGAACTAAAATGTTACTGTTATCAAGAAACAGACTGAAAACAACGGCTTCAAAATACCTCCATAAATTCCACTCTCAAAGGCAGCTAACTTTTCTGAAGTATGCATTTTTGATGGCCAGCTTCGGGGTCCACTTTCTCTCAAGAATAAGTGACAAAGCACTCTGGAGGTGGGAGGATGGATTGTACTTAAGCCATTCCAGAACGGACCGGCTCTATGTCCACATTGGGTTAAGAGTCTTTGCTAAGAGTACTACTTTTCAACAAGGACTAAAAATACTGTATTTCACCAGAACTGCTTATGTAGATATGGGCGCCTCAAGATTTTTTTTTTTTTTTTAAAAACAGACTAACCACTATGCTAAAAAATCACGGCAATACTGATGAAGAGGTTTTTTCTTTCAAGCTATGAACCACAGCGTTTGCTCATTGCGTTCCTGGCTCTTCTTCCTCCACAGCAGCTCCTATATGTTCAAGCTAAGTCACTACTGCATTTAAAGAAGAGATTTGGGGGGAGGGGGAAATAAAGGAAGTGAGTCCACAGCTACAAGTAATGAGACAAGAAAGAATTAGAAGGCCAGACTCAGAGGCTTCTCAAGTTGTAGATCCAGCTCACTTTCAGTTAACAGAAGTTAAAAAGCAAACAAACTCATGTGCTTTATAGAAAAGAACAGTGAAGTTTGAATTCATGGCACAGGACCCGATAAACACAGTTAAAATATGTATATAGAAAAATCAGTGCCATTTGTAGAGATGTATTACCTAAAAGACCAAAATCCAGATTACATAAGCCAATATCTTGAAAACATTTACCCCAAGAAAGCGCTTGCCAAAAAACCCTTTCCAAGTCTTAATTTTGAGATGATTGAGCAGTGGTTGACACATGCTTTTCTATGTCAGAACAGAGTATAGATGACTTGGAACATAAATTATTAAGCCATAAACATATATTGTATTTTATTCCATCTTTACAATCAGGCTTATAATCCTACAAAATAAGTTAGCAGTTAAAGTAGTAATGCTAGTTTTACATGGAGGCATAGATAAGACCAAGCTTACTAAAAATCCATTAAACATGCACCCAATACAAAGAAAAAGCAACAATATCCATACAGCTGTTTAATGAAAAACATGTACATGGCCAAAACAGCATTTAAGTTTCTATTTCTGAGTATGAGAGACAGTCATTGGTTAACCAATTAAGCAGCTTTTCTGAGAGCACAGCAAGTTCCTCCGTCTACACTAAGAGGAAGATTCAATACCAACATCGCTGTCACAAACTGCTCATCTTTTCATCAAGATAGTTTAACTGCTGATATATGTTACCTCCTTGTGCAGGTTCCATCATATTCTCACTTTAATACATGCTAGAAATTCATCTCTCTTCTAGAGCAGCAACAATACAATGCAAGTTACAGGCAATGATTACAGTCAGAAGCTTTTTTTTGTTTGTTTTCAAGCCATAGATCAGGAAGCAAGTTGTGTAGGATCCAGGCTTTGATATTTTGATAGCAATTTCATAGCTGGAGGGATTAGCCTAGCTTTAAAGACTGTTTGCTACTCTCCAGGGAAAGCTTGAAGTGCATGCATGTGCACACAGGTGTAAAAACAAGGACAAAGGCTTACAAGGCTTGAACCACCTAATCTCAAAGAAGCACTTTTTCTGCTAAAGACATTATATCTTACTACTCAAAAACCAGATACTCAGGTGTGGGAAGCCAGAAGCCAGTTTTGAACATATGAAGCAGGACTATGTTGACTCCTCTGGAAGGGACTGCCCCTCCAGTACTGACTGACAGGATAATTTGCCCACAAGAGGGAGTAGCTGATCCTATATATTAAGTACTGCACTTGTATCCTCATTTTTCTAGGCAGTTCATCTATAAAACAGCAATTTTTATCTAACTCAAGATACTGTAATAATGCTAACAACTTAAGGTGTACATGAAGCCAAGAGGTAAAGTTTACCAAAATGCACACAGACTACTCTAGCAGATAAAACAGATGACCCTTGAATGCCTAGTTTCCTTGGTTCCTTTTTTACCATCAGGAAATTCAGGTATATGGAACCAAGTGCCTTAGGTATATTTCTTCAAATCAATGGCCTGCACAACTGTGAGAACTTTTTAGAAGGCCGAGAACACGTCCTTAGAACTGTCTCACAGAACTAGCCATGATTATAGTTGAAAAAAATCTAAAGGAGACTATCTTCACTCTTGAAGTTAGCTAGCTAAAACATGGAAGGGGAAGGGAAAGAAAACACCCTTCCAAGTTTGTTGAAGTAAGTTTATAAATACAATCCACTTAACTATTCTAAGCTTACTCATGTGATTATACTTGCACAAATTCATACTAGAGGGTAATAAATGCTATTTAAAATCAAGGGGAAGGAAAATGATAATTCTGTTAACTTTTCCATGGTGACATCTAGCTTTCCTGAAGGTGAAAAAGATGTCCAGACTCTCCATTGTGTGAGTTTTAGGTGAGAATTTCACTTTACCATATTTTACCTTTAAAGTCTGAATATGTAAGACAATTGTGTAGACTACGGAAAACTAAAACTCATTATGGAGTAAGGAGTTGATGGTTTCCTGACATTTAAAATTAACTTGCTATCTAGCAAGGAACATAAGCAAGCTAGTCTTCTGAAGTTGCAAGTGAGAAAAAAAAAATAGTAATCAATTTCTACCCATGGATTAGAAAACACTGCCCAGGATTTGTTTCCTTCAGAAAAGCACTTGTCCTCAACTCTTAAAATATTTGAGACAAGGAGAATTTTACAGAAGAGTTGTATGATGAAAAGGATGGAACAGGTTATCAGAACAAGGATGCTATAAGCAATGGGGGACAGGCGGTGTGGAGAGGTTACATGTTTTCCATTAAGAATTCACTAAAATGTTGCAATGGAAAAACTGCTTGTTACTTTACCTTAGGATTAGCTCATCTCTAGGCAAAACCTTAAAGTCTGCTTCACTAAGACGAACCTATGGAGCAAAAGGAGAAGTTAACTTAACAGCTTGTCATGACTACAGGGGGAAAAAAAAATCCAGTAAGTATTTTTAAACATACCTTCTTCGGGAGAGGTTCTTCATTCGTCATTGTGAACTCTGAAAGGGGGAGGGGAGGAAAAAAAGGAGTTTTATTTAATGCCATTACTAGGGTCCATAAAGCATGCAGCAAGTCACTTTACTTCTTCCTTAAGTTTTTATTTATTAGTGATAATAGATTACTGAAATGTTGGTACCATACAATGCAGAGTACGAAGCAACTCTACGACAACTTTGCAATTGTAATCTAGACACAAAGTCATCAGACACCTTTGTAAAAACTACCCAAAGTGCTCTTTTGGTGTCTGAAAGAATATCAACAATCAACTCTTCCTTATTTAAAGTGAAACCATCTAACTTTGTCTATATTTGTTTTTAGATCAAACTGACATTTGATATCTGTCTACAACTACTGAATTTTTTCAACATATACACAAGGCAGAGCATAATTAGGACTTGAAGAAAGTAATTTATACCACTATTTCAGTGGTTTCAGTGTTTATCTCTTTGAAATAAAAGCAAATGATTTGGAAACATTACCACTAATATTTAGGGAATGTCAAGACAGCAAGCTCTTCCAACTACTTATCCTCTTACTTTTAAGATTTTGATAAACAAAGTGTCAAGCAGTTATTTTAAAACCCTTTAGGTTATCTTTAGGAAAAGAAAAAACAAATGGCTTGAGCACACCATCAAATACAACTCCTCTTGTCTGTTGATTGCACAACACAACCCTATTACGCTTATGTTAATTAGTCCCAATTCCTTGTATTACAGGACTTGCTTCCTTACTTCAAAAGGACAGAAAACATTTTCTATTACTATGATTATTAAAAAAGAGCCCGCAAAGATCATAAAAGAAACAAAGGCAAGCTTTGCTGGAGCCATGCATCTTTTGCAATATGCCTTCCAACAGAAGAGCTGTACATAACATTGAGCTTTTGTAAGCTTAAAAGATTTTTGCCATGTAAATACACCAGAAAACAGATGTAGCCAGTTCCTCACTTGTAAACAGTTAGCTTCACAAATACAATGCATTTAAGTTGTTTAAAAGTGATTGCTGGAGGGGAAAGAAACCCCACGCAACTTTAATTAGTTTATTGGGTGCTTTTGTGAAAATACCAGAAAGTTCTTGGTATTTTCACAAAAAAAAAAAAAATCACCCAATAAACTAATTAAAGTTCTTTAAAACCTAAGGGCATCAGCACTGTCAAAAAGATAAATGCATACCAAGTGAACAACAGCTCCTTCAACCTATATTAACATTCAGTATATAGCACTATACCAAATAAAACTACAATAACAACTAAACACCTACAGTGCACAGGTGAAATGGCTTCCAAGCCCTTCATAAAGTAAAGGGGGACATTAGAACGAACAGAAAAGTTGCTAATAACACTCAATACAGGCATCTATGACCAATGTCAGCTTCCTGTTCCTAATCTTCATAACACACAGGCACTTCAGTGATTCTCTACTCTAAGAGGTCTAGGGCCCCCCACCATCAACTCTCTCACACATGAGAGAACTTTAACTTCTGGATGCAGCTTCCCACTTAAGACTTTTATACTTTTACTAAATGCAATATGAAATGTATTAGAGACTATCGATACAAACCAATGATGCTCAACTCAAGTTAAACTGATATTTTGGATGACTAAGATCATATGGGGAAATGCTCACAGCCCCCTAAATTTAATGGCCTACTTCCCCATTACAATTTTCTTAAAGATTTTCAGACACTTAACTCCTTCAGT